ACACATGATACAATACTTTCAAATGTTCCTTCAAGTAAGTTATATTTATACTACACACATGATACAATACTTTCAAATGTTCATTCAAGTAAGTTACAGTACACAGATTATACAAGTATCTAAAAATGTTCATTCAAGTAAGTTACAGTACACAGATTATACAAGTATCTAAAAATGTTCATTCAAGTAAGTTACAGTACACAGATTATACAAGTATCTAAATGTTCATTCAAGTAAGTTACAGTACACAGATTATACAAGTATTTAAAAATGTTCATTCGAATAGTTAAGTTATACATATTATATAATACTTTCCAAATGTTTAGTGAAGTAAGTCATATTTAAAAAAGACATTTTTAATTCTTTTAAATATAGTTCTAAATGTCGACTTCGTTGCAAAATCATGAAACTGCTAACTATAGCTAATTGTTGCTTTAGTGCAAGTATGCACAATGGGCTATCTGATTTTAGCGATGCAAGTCCTTAAACTTACCGCTGACTTAACAGGGGGGGGGCAACTACAAATAGTGATGATTCTCTCGCTGGATCGAGAATATTACGCTGGAGTTCTGACTTTTGTAACTCAGAAATGGAAAAAAAAATATTTAAGGACTTTTATAATTCAGTAACAGAAAAAATTTCCTTAGTTATTTTTGTAACTCGGTAACGTAAACAAATTATTTAAACTTTCAGTAGAATAACATGTTTGTTTCATTATATTTAAATGTTTATAAACTTGATGTGTGTATTTCTGATTTTCTAACTTTAATTCTCTTAGTAAATGTAGCGTTCATTGTGCACATACTAAATATTGTAAGTTATGAGAAAGATAAATTATAAAGCAGATGATAAAATCAATTTGCTTGTGATGTAAAATAAACTCCTTTAGAACCTTAATTACTTCGGTTTTTCACACGAGTTATAGCAATATAAGCACCTATTCCTTAATGGCTTCAATATTCGATTTATCACACGAGTTATAGCAATATAAGCACCTAAGCCTTAATGGCTTCAATATTCGATTTATCACACGAGTTATAGCAATATAAGCACCTAAGCCTTAGTTACTTCAGTATTCGATTTTTCACACGAGTTATAGCAATATAAGCACCTAAGCCTTAATGGCTTCAATATTCGATTTTTCACACGAGTTATAGCAATATAAGCACCTAAGCTTTAATGGTATCAATATTCGATTTTTCACCTAAGCCTTAGTTACTTCAGTATTCGATTTTTCACACGAGTTATAGCAATATAAGCACCTAAGCCTCAATTGTATCAATATTCGATTTTTCACCTAAGCCTTAGTTACTTCAGTATTCGATTTTTCACACGAGTTATAGCAATATAAGCACCTAAGCCTTAGTTACTTCAGTATTCGATTTTTCATACGAGTTACAGCAATAAACCAAAGCCTACAGTTACTCAGCGTTCGATTACTCACCCCAGCTACGACAAAGTAAAAAAAAAAAAATCACAACAGAATTAGAGCCTTAGGTACTCAATTTTCAGTTGTTCACTCCGACATTAACACACACACAAAACCGCACCAAAGCCTTAGTTATTTCAGTGTTCAATTGTTTACTCGAGTTACTAGTAGAATAAGTACAAATATTTAGTACACTACCAAACTACTACTATAGAACAAACCTGAATAATAGAACGAATTAAAAGAATGATAAAATTTGTATATATATATATTGGAAATATACGTTTACCTCTTTAAATACGGTTTTGTAATAAAAGGTTTATTTATGATATTTCAATAATTATCATATTTATTTGATGATTTTCTTTGTAGTTCATTTGGTCTATTTCGCCATCAGTTGTTGATTTAAGTGGATTTTCTGGAAATACAGTCACTGTTCCTAAAGGAAATATTCAGCTTGGAAGTGCCTACGCTATTTCAGTCACTGGTAAGAAATGATTGTATATATATATTTTATATCTGTTTCATTTCAGTGGTGACATATAATTGAAACTAAAAATCCAATCTTCATTCCAACTATATAGCCAACGATACAATCTTCACTACAACTATTTATAACCAACGATACAATCTTCACTACAACTATTTATAACCAACAATGCAATCTTCACTACAACTATTTATAACCAACAATGCAATCTTCACTACAACTATTTATAACCAACAATGCAATCTTCACTACAACTATTTATAACCAACAATACAATCTTCACTACAACTATTTATAACCAACGATACAATCTTCACTACAACTATTTATAACCAACAATGCAATCTTTACTCTAACTGTATAATAAATAAAACAATTTTCATTTTAACCATATAAACACAATACAATATCCACTATAACCATGTAATCAACAATACAATATTTACTCCAACTATATAATCAACAATACAAGCTTCATTCTAATTATATTATAAACAAAACAGTTTTCACTCAAACCATACAATCAACAATACAATATTTACTCCAACTATATAATCAACAATACAAGCTTCATTCTAATTATATAATAAACAAAACAGTTTTCACTCCAACCATACAATCAACAATACAATGTTTACTCCAACTATATAATCAACAATACAAGCTTCATTCTAATTATATAATAAACAAAACAGTTTTCACTCCAACCATACAATCAACAACACAATATTTACTCCTACTATATAATCAACAATACAATATTTACTCCTACTATATAATCAACAACACAATATTTACTCCTACTATATAATCAACAATACAATATTTACTCCAACTATATAATCAACAATACAAGCTTCGTTCTAATTATATAACAAAGAAAACAGTTTTCACTCCAACCATACAATCAACAATACAATATTTACTCCTACACTATATAATCCACAATACTAGCTTCATTCTAATTATATAATCAACAAATCAGTTTTCACTCCAATCATACAATCAATAACACAATATTCACTCTAGCCATATGGCAATATCATTCACTAGAATATTTAAACAATGGTTTAAAAGTAATAATTACATTTGCTAAAAAATAAATGATAGGAACATATAAACTTCAGAAAGTTAACTAAAATATATTTACAGCAGACTAAATATAATAAAAACGGATCTGGTTACATTGTCTTAAATATTCTGCTAAAATACTTCATCTGTTATACATTTTTTTTAAAATTCGTTTCTCGGGATATAGTGTTTACTTGCATTCATTTGTATCTGACACTATTTATTACAAATACTGCGTGTAGCTATTATACATAAAAATAATTTGATAATAAGATAAATACCAATCAGAAAAGTAGGACATTTACAATCTAAAACCATGGAACGTATTTCAAACACACGTTTTATTAGATCTTCATTCGCTGAACAGTTTAGGTAATTATGTAAAAAGAGATTTAGTGTCGTCATTACATCCGGGACATTCACTGTTCTGACTAAGATTAACATTATTAAGCCAAACTGGAGAAGGTAAGAACACTATAAAGTAATTACTGAATAACTACGTCTCCCCATTTTTTTTTGAGCTGGCGAGATATCAAGAACGATCGAAGTCAGAGAAGAAAGCTGATATTACGTAAATCTAGAAGAAAAATTAGATATTGTGACTTCGTGATGATTTAAACATGATTTCTGGATGTGTCAGAAACAAAAGGCAGGAAAAAAGAAAACGAATTTAATAGTTGTAATTTGTGTTTAGAAACTGAGATAAAAAATACAGTGACAAAACTGTCTTTCCACTTCTTAAAGTCAGCTAGAGGATCTCAAACGTTTAGTTTATGTAACAGAATACTAGCCAGGGTTTGGATGAGCACCAGTGTTCTACCATGACGAGAGGTGTACAGATGCAATCGGTTCTATTTAATAAAAACAGTTTGAATATTTTTTTCAATTAATAGAAACAGATAAATACATTGTGTTTTGTTTTTATAGTGTCTGTAAGCAGTGATGAGAGTAAGTGGAGTAATGCATCGCTTACCATTGGAGTTAAAAGGACGAGTCTACAGGCTGTAATCAGTTCTTCAAACCTGGTAGTCGGAGACAAGACACCGTTCAAACTAGATGGCGCTCTATCTTTTGATCCAAGCAACGCTGTTGGTGATCTTCAGTTATTATGGTCGTGTAGTGACCTGGTGACCACTAATGCGTCATGCTTTGGAACTAGTCTGTTGGTCAGTGACCAGGTTCTCACTGTACCAGCAGGATTACTTCTACCCAGCACGTAAGTCTGGATTACATAAACACAAGAAATGGAAATAATTACACCAATTACTTCAATGTTGTGCATTGTTTGATAGTTATTAATACCTGAAGTATATATATTTCTTATGCTTGAGAAAAATAATTTGTGGGGTTGTTTTATCGATACATGAACAATAATATGTTTTGGATAGTCTCTTTGGTTTAAGGGAAAATGGTTTTCTCTTCGAGAAATGGAAGTGGTGTATGAACTTACTGCACTGAATAATTTTACTTTATTTCTCGAAACTATACAAATTATGTACGTATCAGTCGATGATCTCACGTGGTTTGGCCACGATGTCATGATTTGCAGATTGTAATATAAGACACCAAGCCCGAAACAAAAGATCTCAAGGCAATTCATTTTAAATATTTCCTTTAATAAAGATATGTATTGACTTCGTTATCCGTGACCTAGATCTTACAGGATTTTCCCTGGTGAAAACCTTCCTAAGGCCGTAAGGAATATTCACGTACATGAGAAGAGAGACGAACGTATTTATAAATTTCTACAAATTTTACTGATATAAACCTGTGTAGGTTTACACAGCCAGACCTGCACATGCCTGTTAGTTAACAACAAATGGAAGACTGTAGTTTTCACACAACTAAACTTGTATGTGTCTATTTGGTTAACAACAAATGTGAACCTGTAGTAGTCACACAACCAGACTTGCACGTGTCTGTTCGGTTAACAACAAATGTGAACCTGTAGTATTCACAGAACCAGAATTGTACGTGTTTGTTAGGTTAACAACAAACGTAAACTTGTAGTAGTCACACAATCAGACTTGCAGCTGATTTTTCCAAGCCTGTTCCCTTGGCTGTGGTTTCGCTAGATAGTAGATAGGGACAGTGGGAATCTCGTTAATTCGGTTAATAAATGTGAACCTGTAGTATTCACACAGCCATACATGTATGTGCCTGTTAGGTTAACAACAAATGTGAATCTGTAGTAGTCACACAACCAGACTTGTTCGTGTCTGTTCGGTTAACAACAAATGTGAACCTGCAGTAATCACACATCCAGACTTACACGTGTCTGTTCTGCTAAAAATAAATGTGAACCTGTAGTAGTCACACAACCAAACTTGTTCGTGTTTGTTCGACTAACAACAAATGTGAACCTGTAGTAGTCACACAACCAGACTTGTACGTGTCTATTCGGTTAACAACAAATGTGAACCTGCAGTAATCACACATCCAGACTTACACGTGTCTGTTCTGCTAAAAATAAATGTGAACCTGTAGTAGTCACACAACTAGACTTACACGTGTCTGTATACTCATTCCATGAGTTGTTCTATTAGCAGTGGTGGTTCGAATAAAAATGATATATCAGTCAAGTTATAGTTTCCAATAAATTAATGATATGTTGAGTGATTGAGGAAAACCTGTTAAGAAGAAACACTCTGCTGTGTAACTTGATGATGATGAGTAAAAGTATAGGTATGCCAACAGGTTGACGGATCATTTATACTTCTAGTGCTTGTTGGCGGTATGAAGTCACCAAGATCCGGATCTCGGTTAAATTTTGAAATTAAATATAATACACTAAAATATCTGTATACTGATTTTTTCGTAAGAGGTTGTAACAATTCATGAGTTTATTCTAACCCAAGGGCTTGCAGTCTGTCCAGGAGGAAAAAGCTGCAAAATTTTGGAACCCCTAAAAACTATTTCAAAATCAGCCCCCCCCCCCCCAGTGGCACATCGGTATGTCTGCGGACTTACAACGCTAGAAACCGGATTTCGATACTCGTGGTGGGCAGAGCACAGATGGCCCATTGTGTAGCTTTATGCTTAGCTTCTAAAGAAACTAAAACCAAACAGAATCTTAAAACTTAAGCCTAGAAGAAACAGTGACTGTCAAACATGGCGATTATTTTAGAGTTGATAAAGTTTAGACTCGTGATGGAACTACAAACAGGTGTAAAACACCAAGTTCGTGAAAAAACGAGCTAATTTTTAACTGTGCTTCTTATTCTCCACTAGCGAAAGTACCCGGCTTCACTCGGGTTATTAGGTTGATTTATTCTATATGACTATGTCAGTGTGTGTATTCTGAATCCATTTTAACATAAAAGTATAACCTATATACTTTTGTTGCTCCTGTACGGGATGTAGCCTGTTTATAAATGTAACCTTCCCTCTGATTTGTCCTCCGGATTTAAACTTAAATAATAAAAACAAATAATACAAAATAAATGTTTGTACTTAACGGAGCCTCTAAATTAGAAAACAACTTTTTTTTTCAATTTTGTAGTTTATACACATTATTTTATACTTTCAGCACATAGCCTATTAACAACAATATATTAAGGTATACTTTTATTGCTAAGCAACATAACATAAAAGCCATTGTTCTAATGCATTGTTACCAAAACGTACTGGCTTTTTTATATATTAGGAGTTGTTATATTAGGAACCACTTCTTTTCAATGTGGTTTTTCGTTAGATTGCCTCACAAATAGATGCACACGCACGTAGATAGGTAATAATACCCAGGTGTACACTCTCAGGTCCACTTAGTATGTGTGCAAAATTTCAGGTTCCTAGGTTCTTTCCTTTTGGAGTTATGGTGGTCATACACACACACAGATATGCCCTTTTATTATTATAGATAACCAACAATACTAAGCATTTAACTGTAAGAGTTTTAATTGTGTTACAGATTATTTTAGTCCGTAGAGGTTTTATTTTCATTTCATGCTTAGTTTTGTATATTTTTAAAGTTAAATTCAGTGGCTGTTAATTAGAATATAAGATTATAATCTTCGTTTGGAATTTCGTTAGAAAAGAACGTCGTTATTATAGAATTGCCTTAGCAGACAGTTTTATTAACCTAGTTTATATTCTAGCTTACAATTTTGCTCAACTTAAGATACCATATACATATTCTTAAACCTAAGTCTAAGCTGTTTAGTAATAAAACACGAAATTATAACCAAATTATACGTGTTTATATTCTTTTTTTTTCACATTCGTAACAAGCAAAGAGTGATATTTTATAAATGTTATAGATGTACAGGGTTTCCGAAAAGTCTGGATATGCAGCTTTTCTTAATTTCAGATACGTGACTGATTATGGCACTCTTAAAGCACGAGAAGGTCGCGTTAATCCTGTTATTAATCCAAACTTGTCTCGAATTACAAGGACAGCATGAGGAGAACAATCTATAAAATTCGTTGAAGCGCTTATGGTTCCAGACGTTTTGGACGTCCTGTATATATTTCATTGATGGTGAAGGTAGCTCTTAACGTAAACAAGGAGGACACTGAATAATTATTTTAAAGATGGTATTAATTTTGATAATTTTTTCTCTTAATGTTTTAGATACTTCATTACACTAAAAGTTTCCAAAGACGTTCGCTATGCAGAAACTCAAGTTACAGTTACTATCCGCAATGGGGAGCTACCTGTTATCTACATCAAGAGTCAGAAGTCCGGTCGGATAAATCCAAACGAAAGACTTGTTATAGAAGGATTCGTGACCAGTCGAGCCAATGTAACAATTTATTGGGAGGTTGTGGTAGAGAAAGGTTAGCTGCATTTTTTAAAAGTAATAATGTAAAGTATCATTTCTGAAATCCAAAATGGATGACGGTTTACTTTACACGGATTGTACTTTCAAAGTACAGATTTCAGATGTAGTTTAAGGAATGATATTTTTTGAAAGAAAAATGCTTTGACTGAATTAAGAACTTCAAATATTATATGAACTAATATAAACACCGCATCATATATATTCAGAAATCTGTAGATGGCGCTCTTTCGACTCGTCATTGCAAAATTAGCCATTCTGGTGTCCATAAGTGTGTAGTAAAGGTATAAATGAAAATGTTAAAAAAATGTGTATGTTTGGTTGCATCTAATTTGTTACATTATTTATAAATTACAGATGACATTCACACAAGTTATGATTTAGTATTTGGTGACAGTACATGGTTAGAACATACTATGGAGTACTGAAAATCTCTCAGTGTAGTGAAATTCTTACACCTTGTTGATGGTTACTCAATATCAATACATATAGTGTATACACAATTCTAGAATATTCTCTTCCATCTCTGAACGGAGTGACGTCATCAGTAGTGCCAAGATATTACAGTTCTTCTTTGGTCGATCGTCCACTTCCACTCCTGATTCCAGCTGTTAATGAGAGATGGACAGGACTTCTAGGTGGCGCCCTCTATAAGTTTCGGCTGACAGCAGATCCACTGGATGGAGGAGAACCAGGTTATGCTGACGTTACTATAGAGACAAATAATCCACCTGTTGGAGGTAGACTCGAGGTGAATTAACCAGATTAGTAACATACTTATTCTTGATAACATAACTATATATATAAATATATTCATAGTTTTTAATGTTAAAAGTTTCTATCCAGGAGTTACCATTATAAAAAAAATATAAAAAACAACGATTATGGAAAAAAATGCTTAAGCAGTTTTATATATTTACTGGTTTTCCCAGGTGGAGCCAAATTCTGGCTTTCCGTTAACTACAAGCTTTACTCTGGATGCTACAGAAGGTTGGGTAGATTATCCACAAGACTATTCATTGTTGTATGCCTTTTCTTATCGCCTCAACGAAAATGACGTATACACTCCTATCGTTAGTATTACCGGAGCGCCACCAGTGGTGGAAAACGTTATTCTTCCTGGAGGTGAAAAACTATTTTTATTTCATTGTTGTTTTAATGATTTGGAAATTAAAACACAGAATAATACGAGCATTGTTACAATAAACGAAATTGTAATTTTTAAAAATGTCATTTAAAAATCAAAATACGGAAGCCTAAAAGACCTAAAAGTTAGAATTTCCGTATATATATATATATATATATATACATAAGTTATTTTTGTCTTGAATTATCCGTTTTACGATAAATTATGAAGCAAATGTTTGCTATCCAGAATTTACTTAGTTATTATCATTTTCAGGCCAGACCTCCGAAGTTATAGTTCAAGTCAAAGTGTGTGATGTTTTAAACTCGTGTACCACTGCAAAAAGTATCGTCTCCACTCAACCTTTGTCGTCCTTTTTGACAGCTGATTTTGATAATTTAAATAAAACTGTACTTCAGTATTTAAATCGTGGTAAGTTTTCTCAGCCTACTGAATTGTCTTTTAACAACTGTATTACAATGCAATTTTCTATCATCATCTTTAGAAAGTTCAGTGAGATAGAAATATTTTTCAGACATGTTATTCAAAATCACTTACTACGTCTTGCGATTCAATAAAATCAGCATGCCATCTATGAGAATTATTTAACGATTTTTATTTTAGAGATTAAATATTGGCTTGATCGTTACAAGTGTGTGAAAAAATATGTTTATGATAATAATATTCCTGAACCTAAAAACAGTACTTAACAATATAGTATACAAGGATATCGAAGGTGCTGTTACACTTAACAAGTCAAATTGACTTGGAAATATTCCACATGTAAATATATATATATATATATATATATGTATATGTATAAAACTCTTAAACGTAATTTATAATTCATAAAGACAATGCATTTCGTATAACGTGCAAGTGGCAAGGGTTGACTTTGTAAATGTTTGATTGTGAACTTTCTAACTTTAGACAGCATATTCTTAATCAGTATATATATATATATAATCTAAAGAACATGTTGTTATTATTCTTATATGCTATTTTTAATGTTCTCTGTTCATCCACAAAATTTTAGGCGACCAAACCCGGGCTCTGTCCGTTGCTAGGGCAACAGTTCTGACCCTGAACAGCGAACAATATGGAGAATTAGCAGTTCGGTCACAAACTTTGTTCCAAGATGTTGTAGACAACATGGCCGAAAGTTACTTAACTGGGTATTAAGATAATTTATTCGCTTCAAGTTTGTATATCTTAAGTTTTAGGTTATTGGTTGTGATTAACACTTAACTTTAATTAGTTGTATAAGGAATTCACTGTTAATGATGAGGAATTATGTTGTTGTACTGTGTTGTTAGATAGCTCATTAAAACATATTGTTACTACCAGCGCCTCCATTGAAAAATGTTGCCCGAGTGTTTCAAAAACGAGGGCGTTCAAAAGAGAACAAACTTTTAAATATATGAAAGATATAAAGCTGCATCAAATAAGCTATGATGTGTTGTCGTTTTGTTTTCAGATTGGAGGTGGATTCCACTAGAAGTGTTCTAATCAATGACGTTCTTAGTTTTATGGAAGTCACCCAGTTAACGATCCAACCTAATTATCTTCGTGAGATCACTCAAAACAACCTAAAGGATTTGACGGTCTCTCTTGTACAAGCTCTAAGTATGTCCACTACAATTAGTTGTAAGTATCTCTTCCTGTTTTATTTCTCTCTCGCAAAGTTTTATGTCAAAAGTTTTATGTGTCTCTCAATATCTTTCGACCAAATAGATTATTTAATAGATTAATAGTTAATATTAACAGATTAATAGTTTAACGTTTTTCATAAACAAGAGGGAATCCCCAATAGCCGCGGCACTTGAAACTTTTTTAGGCAGGATTGTAGCAATTTAATCTACGAGACCCTTGTTTCTCTTTTTATTAGAAATATTTTTGTGCGCCAGCAATACCAAGCGTTGGGGGGCGTGTATACCCGATTCCATTTTATTACTCATCAAGATCTCTACCAGTCTACCCTCAAATTGAAATTCGTTTAGGCAGGATTAGACTAAATTAATCTATGAGACCTTGAGCGTGGTCAAGTATATCAATCGAAAAGGTTTGACCTCCTGAGTCCAAAACTGAAATTAGATCTCAAATCGGTCAAGAGATGATGGAGCAATGAACTAAAAGTATATACTTGATAAAAAAACAACAACGAAAGAACTCAGAGTCATTCTATGAGCTGCCATACTGCGGCTAACAAAAATACAAAGAAACTTGCTTTCTTTTAACTTTCATAATCATAAAAATGCAAAAAAAAAAACAACCGATCAAACACAATCAATAATCACAACCGATCAAACACAATCAACAATCGATTGACACATATGGCTAACCAGGGGTAAAACTGACTAAAATTCCAAAGTGAATCATAAAAGAGAGTTCAATTTCTTTCAAAATCCCAGTTTAACTACCGCGGCTAACATAAAGCTGATAATGACAGGTATTGATGCATTAACATGGAAATAGCTGGTGACCGAGTTTTTTGTTTATTTTGTCTGTCTGCAAAGTAATAAGAAAACGATTAACAGCTCAAGTCATGAAACTTGTCACGTGTTTCATACATGAGCCAACGTAATGATTTAGGAGTCAAGAGACTACAAATATTCAAAATAGGTTATTTTGTAGCAAAATAACCAAGTTGAGCTTCAAGTGTCCAAAATATAAAGGGCGGATCATTACCATGATCACGTGCCTCTATTTGTTGTTCTTAAATTATTAGAAGTCAATGTATGAAACGAAATAAAAACGTAGCTCACCTCTGAAGAAAGACGGTCTCACTACAAGTACTTATGTTATCGAGCTAGCTTATATATATAAGGCACACACACAAAAATCTGTGTGTGTGTATGTCTGTTTGTCCGTTATCTAACTACTCCTAGGTCACTGGACGAATCTCAACCAAACTTTGTCGGATGATAGTTTGGAATAAGGGGCATGTTACTAGTTGGTTCACAAACCCCTCTACCCCAATTATTGCTGTTATTGAGCGTTTATTATCTTTGACGTAAGTTAACATTAACTACGTTCATAGATAGCGCCATGTCTTTAAAACAAACACACAAAACTATTAAACATATGTTTTATACATATATACACATAAATCTGTGTGTCTATCTGTTTGTCCCTTATCTAACTACTCCTAGATCGCTGGGCCAATCTCAACCAAACTTTGTGGGATGATAATTTGGAACAAGGGGCACATTAATGGGGGTTCACAACTCCTCCATCTGCACCATTGATATTATTTAGCATTTATTATCTTTGACGTAAGTTAAAGTTAACTACATTCGTAAATAGCGCCAAGTTCTTACACCAAACAGAAAACGTTATTAAATTTTCCGTATCCCCGTACGACAACAATAAGTCTTCGGACTTAGAATGCTAAAATCAGGGGTTCGATTCCCCTCAGATAGCTCGATATAGCTTTGCTATAAGAAAGCATATTATACACACATTTTCTATACCACAACATACACACAGTGTGGGGGAAAGACACACAAACGTCTTATATATCTCTGTGGAGGAATGCAATGAAAAAATGGCTGCCAATATTGGAATAATACATAAACTCAGATGAAGTTAATACTACAACAGCCACCATAACGCTGATATGAAGAGGCATTTCTTGAGTTATACTCACTTCGTACTTTGACCAGTGACCTTATAATTCATCCCGTAAGACACTTCTGCGGCCAATGACCGTCAAATAATTAATAACTGAAACAGTGTGAAAGGACATTAAGAGCTAGGTGTTGAAAGCGGGTAATAGAAAGCACCCATACCGTCACTACTTTGGCTGCTACCTCTTAATACAAAGTCATCCTAACAGTGTATACCATGTTTTAAGCATATACATGGTGAGTTCTTAAAACTAATACAAAACTTTTGGTGAGATAATAATGAATACTGTAATAATATGTTATGTTATAAATAAATTGAGTTAAAGTTAGGATTTTTGTGTTATTTATCATAGCATTCACTCCCACATTTTATTAAGTTCATAACTCGACAAAGGACGAGTACTTCAGCTTTTTAGAATAAAATATACTTGTCTGTGTGTCTTAAATTTATGTAATCTTTTTTAATTTTCAGCACGTAAAGAGTAATTTATGTTTTTCAAAATCAAATTATTTTACTCTGTTAAAACCACATTATCGAAATTGTTTTTTTTTTTTGTTTATTCGCCAATTTCAAACGATTCAAGATGAACAAAGTGGTTCTTAAGTGCGGTGTCATATCTTTATTTAGAAAATGTTTACGTAATATTTCAGCAGGGCCAATGAGAAGACTTCTAATTTTGGATAAAAGAGCCACGAGAACGAAGCGCCAGAGTGAGTTGTATGCGTTACCTATAGCTCCAACACAGGTCAGTTTTACACATAACGATATAATAAGGTTATAACTTTAGACATATTTTGATTTTTTCATTATTCAAATTAGCCAGTTATTACTTTTAAGCATTAAAGTTAATAAATGGTGAGTTATTAACTTGGAAATACTTCCATAAGCGGCCCGGCATAACCAGGTGGTTAAGGTGCTCGATTCGCAATCTGAGGGTCGCGGGTTCGAATCCCCCTCACACCAAACATGCTCGCCCTTCCAGCCTTGAGGGCGTGATAATGTGACGGTCTATCCCATTATTCGTTGGTAAAAAAGTAGCCCAAGAGTTGGCGGTGGGTGGTGATGACTAGCTGCCTTCCCTCTAGTCTTACACCGCTAAATTAGGGACGGCTAGCGCAGATAGCCCTCGTGTAACTTTGCGCGAAATTCATAACAAATAAACAAACTCAAAGGTCAATGTGATACTGAAACACCTGTTGCACATCTGTAGATTCTTATTTAATCTGTTATTTGTGAGGTGGATGATGGGTGTTGTGTTATTGTGTGTATGTGAGGTGAATGATGGGTGTTGTGTTATTGTGTGTGTATGAATATATGAATTAAAGAGAAGTGGAAAGTTTTTGATAAACTTTTCCTAAATTAAAGGAAATCATATTGATGGAATTTTTTCTAAAGCTATGAGCCATAGCTATAAGTGAAACTTATATTACCTAAAGCTATGAGCCATAGCTATAAGTGAAACTTATATTACCTAAAGCTATGAGCCATAGCTATAAGTGAAACTTATATTTTCTAAAGCTATGAAGCCATAGCTATAAGTGAAACTTATATTACCTAAAGCTATGAGCCATAGCTTTAAGTGAAACTTATATTACCTAAAGCTATGAGCCATAGCTTTAACTGAAACTTATATTACCTAAAGCTATGAGCCATAGCTATAAGTGAAACTTATATTTTCTAAAGCTATGAAGCCATAGCTATAAGTGAAACTTATATTACCTAGTTTTATTATGTTAGTTTGTTGATAAATTCACTTTAATTTCAAGCGAATGCTTTATTATATGAAGCAAATGATATTAGTAAGAACTTTTCTCGACAACTCGAATTGCCCAACTACCACATTCGTTTCTTCTTTTATCAAAGCCCTTCCTCGTCCAAACTCGGTGTCCTCTGATGACTTCTAGCTGAACGCAAGTTGTCGGTG